GGGGAGGAAAGCCAGGAGACGGTCACAAGAAGGAAGGTGAGGGCAGCGGTATTGACCTTGCCATGTGACCCTGAAGCATCTGCATGGAGACATCTACATGGAGATGCCTGCCAGCCTGGCGTTTTGCCAGGCAGGTGCCGTTAAAGCAGGGCGGGCGAGTTCAGGACACTGATGAGAGGGAGGTTGAACAGAGGACCAGAGCAGAGAAGGTTGCGGCCGTGGGGACAGCTCAGGAAGCGGAAGAGGCTGCCATCTCTGTGAGGTTGCCTTTATGCCGAGAGAGCCTTTCCCCACTCTGTATTCTCACACGCCAGGCATCTGTCCCAAATGAAATATGTGTGTGTTCTTGTTTGTTAATGTGGATCTTGTTAATACTGAATTAAGTGGGGCATATTTTTCCAAAATAAGCATGTATTTCCAGGTAGAAACTGATAAAGCCACACGCTCCGAGGCAGGCCGTCCACAGGTGCCTGATGGGTTGTCCTTTCTTTGTAGATATGTAAGCGAACTTCATCTAACCAGATTAAAAGGGACCGAAGGAGGCACTTACACATTTCTCGTGTCCAATTCTGATGCGAATTCTTCCATGACATTTAATGTTTACGTGAACAGTGAGTAGAACGAATGGTTCCTTATCTTTTTATTCTTTTAAGTTGTGGCTAGTGTTTGTAACAGCTGCTGCCCTGAGTTCATTGTGTACCGGGTCAATAATGTTTCATGATAATTTGACCTTAACAAAGACCTCGTGGTTTGGTGGTTGGAAGCCTGTGTACAAAAACCAGTTCCTTGTCCTACATTTCACAAACCACATGACCTTGTAGCTGGTGCTCAGATGCTGGGTGCTGCCTTTGAAGTCAACAGAGGAGCCATAGAAGTTAAAAATAGCAAACAGTTTGAGGGAGAATGTATTCTTACTGATGGTTGAAATGGGGAGCCGGAGGTTGAATAGGAGCTAGATTATGGTATTAGGCGGGAAAGAAGTGCTATCAAGCCCTGACAATTTCTCGTTACAACGCTTTCTCTTTTGGGGTTGGGGTATTCTTTTTTTTTTTTTGCGGTACGCGGGCCTCTCACTGTTGTGGCCTCTCCTGTTGCGGAGCACAGGCTCCGGATGCGCAGGCTCAGTGGCCATGGGTCACGGGCCTAGCCGCTCCGCGGCACGTGGGATCCTCCCGGACTGGAGCACGAACCCGTGTCCCCTGCATCGGCAGGCGGACTCTCAACCACTGCACCACCAGGGAAGCCCACGTTGGGGTATTCTTTGTGTGAGATGAATGCAGTATCGCTCAGCTCAGTGGATCCCTACTGCGTATCGCGTGGAGGCTGTGGGAGAAGGGAGCAGGTGGTTTAAGGTGGGAGGATGGAGTGGACGTGGGAACCTGAACACCTGAGCCCTGTGTGGCCCACATCCCACAGTGTCTTGGGGCAGCTTCTCTGCACAGAGGCTGATGCCTGGGGCTGTGCTCACCAGCTGGGACTTTTGCCAAGTGTAGGGCCTGCTCTTGACTCTGCTCTGGGGCCCCCTGCATTTCCCAGGAAGGGTGGCAGGTGCCTGCCACACCACACCAGCCAGGAGACCAGAGGCAGGAGGCCTCCAAAGACACGGGAATCCCAAGGGACCGGCCCACAAAATGACCATCGGAATTAGCCATCTGGGGCATGGCAGGGAGGGGGGGGGGGCATGAGGAGACAACCGGGAACATCCCCTAGAGAGCAGCTTAGTAACAGTTTGTGTGTGTTGGGCTGCAGGATGGGAGCCAATTCCCTGTCCTCCAGGAGCTTATTACTTGCTGCATAGAGTGATTTTCCATCGTTACTTCACTGATGCAGCCGCTCACTAGCGTGGTGGGGTGGTGAGTGTGATCCCTTTACAAATGAAGACAGGAAGCAGCTAGCAAGTGACACTCAAGACAGGTTTTTGATTGCTAATCTGGAGTCCTTTGTCAATTCCAGCATTTCCAAAATCGTGTTTCCTGAACAAGGTGTTAACATGTATTTAGATAAAGAGCATCACATCTGCATAAACATTTTTCTTAACTGCAGACCTTCTCAGCATCCTTCATATGCTAACATGTATTTTGCCTGCCCAGGAGGAGGCATGGGAATGAGCATATATCTCACATTTGTATGACCACAGAACTCTCCTTTTCCAAGGGAAACATGTTAATTAACATCTCAGTTCCCGGGAACAGTTTTGATTATGTGGTATCTCATTGGCCTGCAATTCAAATATCTCTAGATTAATTCAGATGTTAATCAGAAGCGTTTAGTGTATTACACATGGGCAAAACTACCTGCTTACTGTTCAAGTAATTGAAGAGATGATTGCAGGTAAATCAGTATCCTTGCAAGCGTCATATCCATACTGTCCAGACAAAACTTTATTTAGGGTGTTTTAGTGCAGTACTTACTTCTCAAACTGTCTGTGGTAAAGAACCTTTTGTATTTTTAATTTCCAATTCCTTCTGGATCAATACTTCTTATAAAATACAGAAAGAACCAGTCACTAGAAAAGTGAGATGGAAAAGAGCAAAGATATATAAAATCCAAGAATGGATTTTTTTTATTATTAGATTCAACAGATACAATTAAGTCAAATCGATTAGTCTCGGTTTTCTGTGCTTAGGTCCCCAGTACCAGTAGATGATGGACATGGCCTACTCGACAGGCCTCACTCTGAGAAGCTTAGTAGTTGGGAATTTTATAAAATTGTGTCGTTTGCATTTCTCTTTCCCTGGCTTCAAGGTCCAGAGTGCATTAAGATCTGTCTCTTTCCCCCTTTTTCCTGCTTCCAATTTGCCAGTGTGTGTGGTCTGCCAGTCACTCATGAGTCACTGACCTTAGAAAGACATCTCTGAAGTCACCCTTACTTTTCTCAGGGTGACAAAATTGCTACCTTTTTACTTACCAGCCTAATTTGCCATCCGATAGGATCGGTGTTAATGACCTCTGCTGGTGAATTCACGCCTGTTTGAAACTAGAGAGGAAATGGCCTGAACTGTCCCAAATGATCCCTTCTTGGATTCCCTGTTAGTGCAGGAGGCCTTTTCTATTGTATATTCTGGGGCCTGGGTCGCAAATACCTCCCAGCACGTACTGAGCTCCTGCTTCATGGCACTGGGCACACGGATGAGGGTGTGTAGTGTCTGCCCTCGTAGGTTAAGCTCTTCAGGGAGTCTCTTCATTGATGTCAGTTTATTACAAACACTAAGCTGACTATAAAGGCATTTATTTCACTTACCTAACATGTTGGATTTCTCGACCTCCAAATGCTTTGACAGAGGTAGCATTTTTGTGTGAACTTTTTATCTGTTTCTTATGAAGTATGTCCCAATTGCTCTTCACAGATATAGTTAGCTAATTTCTTTGTTAACTTTATTTTTTGGATTGAAAAAAAAATTCGAGTTGATGTATCATGGGGCAAGATTTTTTTTTAATGTTAAATTTAAAATCAAAACCTAAAAATAGTTTTAAAATTTAAACTTGGACCAATTGTGTCTATTTTGACATACCATTTTAGCTGAGCCAAATTACATATGTAGATCTGCTGCATGTTTTATTCTGTAAATAAGCTTAGCCCCAAGGGTGAAAGGAATTGTGCTCTGCAAAACCTAGAATGAATAAAAATCAGAATAATAAATGCATGCTATTAGTGTAGGAATTCAGGCTACTTTCACTCAGTGACAGGGATGCATAATTGCTTAATAGATTCAGCTATGAGAAATGCTCAGGAAGATCCTTGATTTTGAATAGTTAAATGTTTGGTGGTTGAAGAATCCATTTGTTTTTAAAATTCCACATGTAGATTTGAGGATATTGTGCGTGCGTGTGTGTGTGTGTGTGTGTGTGTTTGTGTTCTAATCACTTATGTGGAGCCTATAAGAGAAAAATATGTACATGTTAAACTTGAAAATGTTTTTTGTTTTTTTTTGTTTGTTTGTTTTTTGTTTTCGCGCGGTACGTGGGCCTCTCACTGTTGTGGCCTCTCCCGTTGCGGAGCACAGGCTCCGGACGCGCAGGCTCCGCGGCCATGGCTCACGGGCCCAGCCGCTCCGCGGCATGTGGGATCTTCCCGGACCGGGGCACGAACCCGTGTCCCCTGCATCGGCAGGCGGACTCTCACCCACTGCGCCACCAGGGAAGCCCCTTGAAAATGTTTAATACTGTTTTTAACTTCTCTAACAAGCCATGATTTACATGTGTCTGGTAAGTAGGCTCACTGACATTAAAGGTGGTTTATAATGGCCAAAAAATGAAACAAAAAAATCAGTGATTCTTTGCATTGAACTTGCATTACTATAATTACTCTTGAATTGTTTATTGAAGGTGTATACAGAAATCAGATTCTTAGTTCTAAAAAGAAGTTTGATATCTTCGGTGAAAATGGCCATTTGTTTCCCTTTCAGATCAAAATTGGGAGGAAAATAGAGTTCTAAGAACTATAAAACTACCCAAAAGTGCTTTCTTAATAGGCACTACTCTTTCCAAAATTCCTGCAAATGTTTAGAAAAAGTGACATCACCAAGATTCTGTAGGTAGCCTGTGATAATGGATTAGAAACCTGTGGTCTCTTTGGTTACAATCAATGTCATACAGTAAAGGTTTTTATCAGATCCAGGACAAATAAGAGGCCAAACACGTATTGTAACCCTGATTATCCACTTGGCCCCCCGTCTCTCTCTCACACACACACACCCCACATTTTCTTTACTCATTCATCCACTGAAAGAAATTCAGGTTGTTTGCATACCTCGGCTGTTGTGAATATTACTGCAGTGAACATGGGAGTACTGATAATCCTTCGAGATAATAGTTTTGTTTCCTCTGAATTTATACCCAGAAGTAGGATGGATGGCTCACATGGTAGTTCTGTTTTTAATTTCTCGAGAAACGTCCATACTGTTTTCCATAATGGTGATACCAATTCACATTCCCACCAACAGGGCACAAGAGTTCTCCACATTGTCGCCAACACTTGTTTTCTTGTCTTTTCTAATAATAGCCATGCTGACAGGTGCGAGGAGATATCTCCTTATGGTTTTCATTGGCCAGTAACTTAAAATGACACTAGTAGCATTATAAAATGTTATCTGGTAGCATTTCCAGATCAGTATTATGAATGTAAAATTTGTAGCAAATGTTATCCGGGAGCCATAAATAGATCCCTCTCCAATCTCAAAGGTCTATCCTTTAATGGCAGACCTATCAGTTGAGTGAGAGTATGGTGGTACTCAGGTGGTGGTACAGGAAGGCCATCAGGACAAGTAAGGTCTAGAGAATGAAAGCGCTTGCCTTTCATCTTTGGGATTACACGGAACACAGTTAACGTTGAGCTCGATTGGATATCCAAACGACTGCTGAACTCTACACCAAATTAATTCTCTGAATCACCGATTTCCCTCCATTTATGGCAGAGTGCTAACAGGGAGTTGAAACAATTTAAGGAAATGCTAAATAATGTATTATTTCTAAACCACGACATCATATAATTAACATCCTGTCTGGTGTAAGCGATTATTTATAGATCATACAATATACCCAAATCAGTCAAAGTAATAAATCATCCAGAACGAGGCTTCTTCATGGGAATGTTTCCCTTCGACCACATCTA